GGGAGGACTAGGTCGTCACGGTGACGCAGAGGGGTCTCCCGGACGGGCGGGGCCGCCAGCGAGATGTCAGCGGGGGTGGCCGCGGCCTGGAGGGCTGGAGAGGGACTTTCTCAGGGACTCGCGCCAAGTGTGTTGGATGCTCTGGAGGCTGGCTTTGGTGCAGAAGGCGCCCGCTACCTGGGGAAGATGACTCCTCTCCGGGCGTGGTGGCCATTTCCCGGCCCTGTGGGCGGGGCCTTGGGGAACTGGGGAAACGTCTGGCACCAGAGCAAGCAGACGACCGAGCTCCCCAGATCGCGCGTTGTGACATCGTCTGACAGCTCGTTGGCCGAAGCCTGGGTGGGTTGGCCGGACTTTGCAGGCACCCTTTGGATGTTATTTTTCTGCTGCCTGTATTTTGTCCCCTATTAGACTTGCATTGGATCTGGAGTTAATACCTTCCCAGCTCAGTGTAAGTTAAGCTGGTTAGTGTGAAATGATAGGCCCGACTGAAAGGGCAAAGCCCAGTCTGATCTAGCCGTTGTGGTCTCAGAACCCAGAATGGTGGCCTGGACATAGAAGACCTGTATTACAGTCTTCCCTTAATTACTAATTAGGTGTAACCTTGAACAGTCATATAACTGCACCCTCAGTTTCTTCATCTGTACAGAAAGTGGGATGAACTCCGAAAAGGAATCTCCCTTCTGGTATTTATGTTCTGTGATTCTCAGTGGTTCAGGAAAATCTAGGGATTCTCCCATTCGGGGAGGTTTTCCCTGGGCGTAGTCTCAGGCCGATGAGCTGCCCCTTCCAGTTGTCTCTGGAAATCACTGATTCATCCACACCCTAGGAATTCCGACAGGGCCTCAGGAAAAGCTGGTGACTCGAGCCTCTTGGAAGGAAGGAAGGAAGGGAGCTCTTTGCTAATTGACCTGACTCCTTCAGGTCCTTGAGAATACTGTGATTGTTTGACAGTTCCAGCCGGCAGTGAGGGGCTTGAAGGCTGAACTATATGAGGATAAATGAATCTCATCTCTGCCTCTGTTGGGGAGCCGGGGTGGCTGCAGCAGAATGCAGGAAAAGCCTGCTCTAAATGCTCTAAAAGTCTAATCCTGAGTCCAGAATTGTCTTTGTCCCAGTCTCAGACCTGCTCCTGGGTGGCTGAGTCATAGATGGAACAGTAAATTGCACGTGATTACCCTTACTGAGCCACCTTCAGGGCGAATGGAAGCAGTGTGAATAATTACACCAAAACCAGGACGTGTTTCCAAATCTGTACCGTGGGGTTTCAGAAGCCAGAAGTAACATCCCTGTTAATCAGAGTGTCGCTTTCCCATAATGAAGTGATTCCTTTGCTCTGTTTTGTGTTGTACTGTGTGAGGGATCAAGCCTAGGGCCTCACACCTCCAAGCAAGTGATCGAATGCTGAGCTACACACCCTCCCAATGAAGTGATTCTTGAACTTCCAGTGCTGATATGCAGAAGAGTCATCTGGAGAGCTGTTTTTTGTTTTGTTTTGTTTTGTTTAAAAAAATAAAAATAAAAAAAGCTTCTCAGCCAGGCCTGGTGCATGCTTGTAATCTTAGCACTCAGGAGGCTCTCAAGTTTGAGACTAGGCTGGGCTACTTGCTAAGTTCAAGGCCAGCCCAAACTATATAGTGAAACCTGTATAAAAAAAATTCTCCCTAATGATATAATTGACAGTGTGAAATAGGAAGAAAAGGGCTAAAGGTGTAGGGGAAATGGGAAGGGTAGGGGAAACGTAATAAGGGAAAAGGAAAAAAACATGAGAAAATGAAAAAATGGAAATAAAGTGTTTGTAAATGGGGAAGGGAGGAGAGGGTGAAGGGAAGACAGGGAAAAGAGTAAAAATGAGAACCAAGACCTGTCCTGTAAAGGTGCAAGATCCCAATGATGAATGTAACTGTACTGTGTACTTAAAATGTACCAGTAAACTCAATGAGAAGGAAAAAAAAATTTTTTTAAATAAATAATTCTCAGGCCTGGTGTGTAGCTCAGTGGAGAGCACTTGCCTAGTAGGTTCAGTCCCAGCTCCTCAAAACCAAAAAGATTCTGAGACCCCAGGCCCAGAGATTCAGATTCAGTTCATCTGATTGGACCCTGGTAGTAACTGGTATAATTGTTCTAAGACTACACGGAAGGGAAACACTGCTTTAACTCGCCCTGCTGCTCTGAGACAGAAATGTCTTCCACTAGATATTGGGGCACTTAACATTACGTGGCAGTGACATACATGTGGTATGCTTTGTTCTCTATATTAACCTCCCTATAGTTTTGGAAGGACGTATCCTAACAGATGCCAGATTGAAATCTATGCCAGTTTATTCTACAGAATAAATCCTGTGAGACTTATTGGGATAATATGCCTGTGCTTCTTTCCCTCTTGGCAGGATCTCCCAGCCATCCAGCCCCGGCTTGTAGCAGTCAGCAAAACCAAACCTGTGGAGATGGTGATTGAGGCCTACAATCAAGGCCAGCGCACTTTTGGAGAAAACTACGTAAGAGCCCATTTCCAAAGGCCCTTGTGAAGAATCGTGATTGTCAGGCTTCTGACTTGTTCTGGTTTTACCCTTTAGGTTCAGGAACTACTAGAAAAAGCATCAAATCCTAAAGTAAGTGGATATCCGAATTCTTCAGTTTTCAATTTAACCTTGGCTCTTTGGTTGAAAATTATACCCATGTTGGTGGCTAAGATTTAAAACGGGAAATTGGAATGGGTAGAAGTGTCCACTTTTACCTTGAGCCTCAAATAATTCTCAGATAAATTTTCTGTCTTTATGTCAACTATAATTTTTTTTTTTTTTGTAGCTGCTTAGAAATGGTTCTTTTGGACCCGAATTCAATCCCCGGTACCAAAAATAAAGAAAAAAAGAAATGGTTCTTTTAGGAGCTTGCTGTAATCCCTTATCCTCCTGGGATTTGAAAATTTAAATCAGTTCATCCTTAATGGATGATGACTGAAAGACAGAGGGGCTCATGGGATAAGAAGGGAACAGAGCAGAAGCCTTTCCCTCTTCTTGTTTCTCTCTCTTTTCCCCCCCTGGAAATCCAGCTCAGAACCTTGCACCTGCCAGGAAGGTGTGGCACCACTGAGCTAAATCCCCCACCCAGCCTTTGATTTTTCTGAGCATCCTTTTGCCTCGTTGGGCTGCCGGCTGAAGAAGGAGGTAGCAGTTTATTCCACTTACAGAACAGCACAGAAGTGAAAGGGTCATCGGGTGTGAGCAAAGGCTTGAGCCAGAGACCATCAGCTTCGAGTCAAATGTCATTTCCTTTTTCCCTTCAGATTCTGTCTTCATGTCCTGACATCAAATGGCACTTCATTGGCCACCTGCAGAAACAAAATGTCAACAAGTTGATGGGTAAGATAAAGCTCTAAGGATGAGGACAAGGTGCTCTGACGTTGTATCGCGTGTACTACCTTCTGTGGAAGAGCACAGATTGAGAACACAGCCAAGTGACTATTTGTGCTGTCAGTTTCCTTTTTGGGGTCTTTTGGCAGCACTGGGAATTGAACCCATGGGTGATCTAGCACCAGCTTACATCTTCAGCGCTTTTTATTTTGAGACAGGGTCTTGCTGAATCACCCAGGACGGCCTCAAACTTGCAATCCTCCTGCCTCAGCCTCCCTATTAGCTGAAGTTTGCACCACCACACCCAGCTGGAGTTTCCTTTATTAAAAGACAAGTAAAAAAAAAAAAATGCAATAAAGTAAAATTAAGAATTAACTACAAGGGCTGGGGCTATAGCTCAGTGGTAGAGAATTTTCCTAGTTTATATGAGGCCCTGGGTTCCAGGGCCTAGCATTGCAAAACACAACAAAAACAGTCAGGTGTGGTGGCACAGGCTGTAATCCCAGCATTCTCAGAGGGCGAATCAGGATGATTGAAAACTGGGCAGTTTAGCAATATAGCAAGACCCTGTCTCAAAATTTTTAGCCATATGACAATGACTTTGTTTTATTTTTTTGTGGTACTAGGGAATTGAACCCAGAGAGCATGACCTACTCTACCGCCCTTTTATTTTATTTTGAGACAGAGTCCTGCTATGTTTCTTAGGGTAATTTTGAACTTGGCAATCCTCCTGACTCAGCCTCCCGAGTAGCTCAGATTATAGGTGTGCATTACTGCATCTGGCAGTTTGATAAATTTTGACACAGGTTTATACCTGTAAAACCATCACAACAGATAAAATAATGAACATATCCATCACCTGCAAAAGTTTTCTCCTCTGGGCCAGGGACTTAGTTTAGTGGTGATGCCACCTGCCTGGCAAGAGTAAGGTCCTGAGTTTGCTCCCCAGTACCAAAAAAATAGTTTCCTCCTCTTCATTTGTAATCCCTCTCTTCTGCCTCTCCCCACTTTTCTTCCTTATGCACCACTTAACTGTTTTGTTGCTGTTTTTTTTTTTTTTAGAGGGTTTGGGATGTTTTGTTTTGTTATGTTTTGTTTTAATTTTAGGGGTTTTTTGAGAGATCTCACTATGTCATCCAGGCTGGCCTTGAACTCACTGTGTAGTGATTACAGATTACAGATGTGTGCCAGCATGCCTAACTCATTTTCGGAGTTGTAAAGAATTAGAGTGTATATTCTTTTTGTCTTCTTTCACTCCAGTGTAAGGAATTTCAGAATCATCCTACTCATTTTGTGTTATAATTGTTTGTCCTATTGTTCAGTAGTATTTTGTTGCATAAATATAATTTGTCTATTACCTTTTGATGAACATTCAGGTTTCTTCTAATTTTTGTCTATTATAAATAAGTTGCTATGAACATTTGTGTACAAGTCTTCATATGGACATATATTTCCTTCAGTCTTGGAGTAAATACTTAGGAGTAGAATGGCCAGTAAAATTCACACAATTATATCTCTTTTTGTTGTTGGTTTTTTGTCTTTTGTTTTTTGGGTTTTTTGTTTTTTTTGTTTTTTTTTTTTTTTTTTTTGAGACAGGGTCTCACTATGTAGTTGAGACTGAGCTGGAACTCGCTGTGTAGCCCAGGCTGGTCTGGAACTCACAGCGATCCTCCTGTCTCAGCCTCCCGAGTGCTGCGATTATAGGCGCCACGCCCGGCTCACACGATTATATCTCTCTTTTTTCCACACAGTTGTATTTTAACTTTCGTTTTTCATGGTGCTGGGGCCTCATACCTGCTCAGCATCCCCAGCCTCAGTGGTTTTTTAACTTTGTCTTTCTAATGAGTACATAGTGGTGCCCACGGCATTTCCCTGCCAGCTAGGGATGCTGACTGTCTCTTCACCTGCACGAGCACCGTACATCTTGTTTGGTGAAGTGTCTAAGTTTTGTGCCCATTTTTTAAAGTTCCTTTTTTATGAGTGCATGTTTGCAGTGCATAATGATTATATTTATTGTGGGGCGTCAGTAAATGTCACTTTTTTAAACATCTACTACCTCTCCCCTTCTTCTCCGCTTCCTTCTCTTAGTCCCCTTCCCATGTGCAAAAGCTCTGTTGTCATCATGTTCCCTTTTCATTTCTGTGGGTTTTTCATCTCCTTTCTGTCCCCTTTCTCCCCGCTCCACCCATCTCTTGTTCCTTCATCCATTTGTCCTTACTTCCTATTGAACAACCATTTTGCCATATATCCATATAATTATTATATATTATGTACACATGCAATATATACTGTAAATTTCTCATATAAGAAAAACCAGGCAATATTTAACTTAATATTTCACTTAATATTGTGACTTATTTCATTTAATATTATGTTCTCAAGTTACATCCATTTCCCTACGTATACCCCAAGCTTATCTTGCTTTATAGCAGAGTAGTACTCCATTGTGTACAAATACCACATTTTATTTTATTTTATTTTATTGGTACCGGGGAGGTGGCGGAACCCCTGAGCTTCAGCCCCGCCTTGTACCACATTCTCTTTACCTGTTCATCTGTTGGTAGACATATAGGCCATTTCTGACTGAGCTCTTAGAAATTAGGCTGCTATAAGCATGGTATAGCCAGGGCTTGTAAGGGAATGGATTTAATACAGGACACGTAATTTATAGGATTATTTTTATAATATTCACCCAAAACGTCACATGCAGAAGTGTGCAAGAGACCTGTGCACGTGCTGGAGACACGAAGAACCGACTGAGGGCCTGGACCCTACAGCAGTGTCCCACTTGAGTCCAGAGGCCTAGAGCCCCTGGCAGTGTCCTTCCCAAGTCCAGCTGAGGTCTGGAGTTGGCCTGGTACGTGCTATAGATAACCAGGGGCGGACGAATCTTCCATGAACTTAACTGACCCAGGTTGTTTGTGTGTCAGGCTCGCTGTAACTTGAGGGGCCAGTATTTTGATTTCCTTATCGCGATTCTTTTTGGAGTAAGATGTTTTAATTTGCATTTCTCTAATGGCCAGAAATGTTCGACGTTTTTTCATGTATTCATTGGCCATTTGTACTTCTTCTGAGAAGTGTTTATTCATTTTGATTGCCCGTTTTTTTGTTTAGGTCTTTTATTGGGGGTGGTCTAATTATTTTTAGTTCTTTATATCTTCTGGATGTTAGTCCTCTGTCTGAGGCAAAAATCATTCCCATTCTATAGGTTGTTTCTTCTCTCTGTTGGTTGTTTCTCCTTTGCTGTTCAGCTTTTTAATTTGATGTGATCCCATCAGTTGGTTCTTGGTATTATTTCTTGTGCCACTGGGGTTCCGTTCAGGAAGTCCTTGCCAACACCTATGTCTTAAAAGAGCTTTACCTGTTTTATCTTCTAGAGGATTAAGTGTTTTCTGTTCTACCATTTAGATTTGATCCATTTTGATTTTAGTTTAGTATACAGTAAGATAAGTGACTCTAGATTCAATTCCTGTCATTGTAATATTTTCCTGTTTCTGTTTTCCTTTCTTTCCCTTCTACCTAATTGCTTGTTTTACCTGATTCATTCGTTCTATCGGACTTCTCTTGGCATTCTCTTTCTGGGATATCTTTGAGCATCAAAGATGATCATGAATTTCTATGGATGCTTTTTATCATGGAGATATCTTTTTTTTTTTCTTTTTCAATTTTTCTTCCTTTTTGCTTTTTGTACTGGGCCTCAAACTCAGGACCTTGCACTTGTGAGGCAAGTTGGGTGCCACTGAGCTAAACCCCTGACCCTTTTCCATCAATTCTGAAACATAATTTTGCGGGATATATAGTCTTCATTGAAGGCGTTTCCTTTGAGGGCTTGAGACACTTCATTTGAAGCTCTCCTTGCCTTTAAGGTTTTATGTTGAGAAGTTTATTGTAAGTCTTACGGGTTTTCCTTTATAAATGATTCATTGCTGTTCTCTAACAGCTTTTCGGATTCTGTTCTTGTGCTGTATTGATGGTGTTTAAATTATGTGGCATGGAGAGTTTTTTATTCTGATCATGCCTATTTTGGGTTCTATGTGCCTACTTCTCTATATGTTAAATTCTTTAGGCCCTCTGTGTGAGCTTCTGCTTTTTCACTAATTTGAATTGCCCTTAGGTTTCTCTGCTCCGTCTAGCAGCTGTTGGATCCATTTCTCATGTTCCCTTACCGTTTTTAAGGTATCTCTCCTCAGCCAGTCACGAACCATAGCCCTTTCTTCTGGGTCTGACACTCTATCCTCCCTTTGGTTTCTTCTGCTGCCCATACTTTCAGTTGCATTTTTAATCTCCTGTATTTCTGTTTGGAACTTCTTTATGGACCCCATTCTTTTCTGTGTTGAGCTTTCATATTTTACATCTCTCTCTTTTTCCTTTAGCCAGCATGATTTACTACTATACAGTTCTTTTTAAAATTTCAAAATAGGAAACATCATAGTCTCATAAGAACAATACATTCACAAAATTCCAAATGAAAAATACACATTTTTTTAAACTATAGGTTTTCAATCTTGCTTTTGAGTGTTTTGTTGTTGTTGTTGTTGTTGTTGTTGTTGTGTTTGTTTTGTTCTGTTTTTGGTACTGTGGATCGAACTCAGAACCTTGAGCTTGCCAGGCGCCAGGCAGTGTGGCACTACTGAGTTACATCCCTGGCCTTGTTTTTGGTGGGGTTTTTTGTTTTTTATTTTGTTTTATTTTTGGAGACAGGGTCTCTCTATGAAATCACAGCTGGCCCTGAACTCACTGGAGGCTGGCCTTGAATTTGGGATAATCCTCCTGCCTCAGCCTCCCAAGTGCTGGGATTACAGGCATGGGCCATGACACCTGGCCCTTGTTTTGTTTTTTTGACACAGGGTCTTTATAGGTAGTCCAGGATAGCCTCAAACTCAGGCAATCCTGCCTCAGCCTCCCAAGTGTTAGGATTGCAGGCGTTCACAGCCTCGCTGGGCTCACTGTTAGAAAACACAAAAAACAGTGTTTCAGATTTTTTTGTGAGGAAGATTAAATCTCAGCTT